TTTTTTTATAGCAGCCTAAACTAATACAGAAAAAGTATATGAAAGACCAACATCTCCACCACATTTCTTGATGTATTCTTACAATTTGGATGCTAGAGATATTATGCTATTAGGATATCTGTCCTTTGTTTTCTATAATGAGCACATATTGCTTTTGTAGCTAATGAAAGTAATAAAATAAAAACAAAAGACAATTATGAAGTTATTTGTAATTAATGAGGGTTTGGGTGTGTTTACTTTAAAATCCTAATTAATTTTATGTCAGCTATGCCTAAATCCCTTGTTTGGTTATATGCACTCAAGAATGAAATTTACTTGATAACTTTCAAACAATCCATAATGATGACCATTTCAATTTTTCCAATTGATTCTCTTTTGTTAGCCACCAAAATCACTCCACTGGTACCCAATTGCTGGATATTTGTTTTTTTCTAACTAGTCTTCTATTGTTGAACATTGAGGCTGTTCAGCATTTTCTTTGTCAGTAATAGAGGAAAAATATATAAATAACTAAAAATAAATTAAAAACACGAAGCAAAAATAAGAGAAAAATGCTTATGAAATTCTGTAAAATAAACAAAAATGCTTAAAGATGCAAACCTGCCATGTCAAGTCTATCATCACACACAAAACCATTTATCATCCTTCACCCTTCCATTATCATTCATTTTAAAAATGTTGAATGAATTGGTTTGCTAGCAAGATGCCTTTGGCCAAATTAATTTTAAATGAATTCCCTGGAGTTATTTTAACACTTGAACATTTTTACTTAACAAGAATCAAGTGGCCTGACATGAGAAATTTTATCTAGTGTAACTATGAAAATATGGTACAGAGGCAATGTCATATTTAAACCTTATCATTTTTAAAAGGCCAGAGTCTGAAACCCAGCTTCTTGGGTACTTTTAAATATATTTTTATCTTATAGTAAGTTGATTATTTGTACACTGTACACATTTTTAGTAGTAACTACCAATAGTAAAGACTTAACCGGTAGTTTCCCTGTTGTCCCTCTTTTAGAACCCCCTTTTTAAACATTTTTTTTATTTTACTTTAAGTTCTGGGATACATGTGCAGAACGTGCAGGTTTGTTACATAGGTATACATGTGCTATGGTGGTTTGCTGCGCCTATCAACTTGACATGCAGGTTTTAAGCCCCACATGCATTAGGAATTTGTCCTAATGCTATCCCTCCCCTTACCCCAGCCCCTCAACAGGCCCCAGTGTATGAAGTTCCCCTCCCTATGTCCATGTGTTCTCATTGTTCAACTCCCACTTATGAGTGAGAACATGTGGTGTTTGGTTTTCTGTTCCTGTGTTAGTTTGCTGAGAATGATGGCTTCTAGTTTCATCCATGTCCCCATAAAAAACATGAACTCATTCTTTTTTATGGCTGCGTAGTATTCCATGGTGTATGTGTACCCCATTTTCTTTATCCAGTCTATCATTGATGGGCATTTGGGGTTGGTTCCAAGTCTTTGCTATTGTAAATAATGCTGCAGTAAATATATGTGTGCATGGGTCTTTATAGTAGAATGATATATTATCCTTTGGGTATACACTCAGTAATGGGATTGCTGGATCAAATGGTATTTCTTGTTCTAGATTCTTGAGGAATTGCAACACTGTCTTCCACAATGGTTGAACTAATTTACACTCCCACCAACTGTGTAAAAGCAGAACCCTCTTTTGATCTTTGTTCTATTAAGGAAAATGTTTAGAGTCAAAGTGTGTGTATGTATGTGTGTGTGTGTGTGTGTACACTATGATGAAGACGGGGTAAAAGGTGGACTACTTTTTAATCAAAGGTGGGCTGTTAGTCTTGTCAGATTCTTAGCACATCAATGTGCAAGACCAACTTAACCAAATGAAACTGTTTCCATTGTTTAAATATATTTTTCTTCCAATTGTTATTTATCTCAATGGAGCTAAAAAAAAAAGTTTTAAAAATAAGGAATGGCAGAAACTTGAAAAACCGAAAGCAAAGAAAACCCAAGAAACAGAATGGAAAAAAAGGTTGAACTAAGTTTTTCTAAACTTAGAATGAATGTCCTGAGACAACTTATGTATGTCAATGTGTCTCCTTGAGTGGAAACCCAACTTTTGTGTCCAAATCTTTCTTGTCTATTCAAACCTGAGAATACAAGGGACATTAATGTATCTGTATAATAAAACGTATGCACTATAATAACACTATTGACATAAGTCACAATTTTAAAAATGTTAACACTGAAGCAGAAACAGAGTTTTGGAATCTATGGAATCTACGGCAAGGTTCGTTTACCTTTTTCTCTTCTTCTTTTGGGTGCTCTTCTTCTTTAAGGGATTCTTTGGGTTTGTCTTTGCCTTTTATTTTCCCTTTAGCTTTGCTCTGAGGAACAGTCACTATAACAGGAACCACTGTTGGAGTGAGTGCTGAAGGGATATTCAATATTGTTTCTAAATCAGGATCTTTATCTTCTATAAACAGAAAAAGTAAAAATGAAATAGATTTCAATATTCATATTTGATATCTTTGTGAAATAACATTTACATCTCAAAAATGCTAAGTATGATTTATCAGTTGGATAGATTCCAGGAGTAACAAAGTTGGTCTGCAAATCAGGATTATAGTTAGAAAATTTGAGGTATTTAATATTTGAATATGCTTCACTGAGTCATTATTTCTCATGTTCTTCCCTTCCCATCTACACTGTAAACTCCTTAATGATAAGGCAGTAACTATACCTTAATTTATTTGAGAAATATTTGAGAGGCTCTACGTATACATAAAACGTTTAGAGCAGCAGGAAATAATTTAAAAATATGTAAAAATCCTTACAGAGTAAAAATAGTCTAAATAAGATTCTGCATAAATAACCAAACATAAAGACTATTAAATAGAAATAGAATAAATGGTGCAAACAAGAAAATTCAGAAAAGAAACTTGTGTGTGATAAATTTGCTGGATTTTAAAGGATTATCAGAATTCTAAAAGGAGAGCTGATGCTAGGAGTAATTATGTGAGGAGCTCTAAAGCATCCTGTGTGTCATGAATTTTATTTTCCACTGGGTTCCAGAAAAACGTTCTCTGACTCTCTTACCTCTATGGTCAATTATTTTTCTCAATCTCCTCTACTGACTCTTTTGACAGTCCCCTAAATGTTTTTATTTATTATTATTATTGAGACAGAGTATCATTTCATCACCCAGGCTGGAGTGCAGTGGCGTAGTCTCGGCTCACTGCAACCTCCTCCTCCCGGGTTCAAGCGATTCTTATGCCTCGGGCTCCCAAGTAGCTGTGATTACAAGCACCTGCCACCACACCCAGTTAATTTTTTTTAGACATGGGGTTTTTTTAATAGACATGGGGTTTCACCATGTTGGCCAAGCTGGTCTCGAACTTCTGACCTCAAGTGATCTGCCCGCCTGCCTTGGCCTCCAAAGTGCTGGGATTACAGGCATGAGCCACCACACTCGGTTAATCCCGTAAATGTTTTTAGGTTGCAGGGTTCATTATGTTCTCAATCTTGCTTGCCTGTAATAATTACTCATGAAATTAGAAAAAATAAAAACATGCTCAGGCCCCACCTTGACCTACTGAATCAGGCTTACTGGAGATGAAACCCAGGTATTTATATTTGTGAAACACTACATGTGACTGTGATACACAGCCAGGGCTGAGCAACTTTCTTATATATATTAGATGTGGATGAGCTCATTCACCACTGGGGCTCCAATTGTCATCTACATGCTAATGACTCCAAAATTAACATCTCAAGGCATGACCTTCCTTCTCAGTTCCAGACCTATATTTCTAGCTTTTTTAAGGCCTCTGCCAGTTGTGGTGCTAGAAACATTTCAAACTCCCTGTGTCCATGTGCTCTCATCGTTCAACACCCGCCTATGAGTGAGAACATGCGGTGTTTGATCTTCTGCTCCTCTGTCAGTTTGCTGAGAATGATGGTCAGAGGGAGGGGAGCACTACATACTGGGGTCAGTTGGGGGGAAATAGGGGAGGGACGGTGGGGGGTGGGGAGCTGGGGAGGGATAGCAGGGCGAGAAATGCCAGATATAGGTGATGGGGAGGAAGGCAGCAAATCACACTGCCACGTGTGTTCCTATGCAACAATTTTGCATGTTCTTCACATGTACCCCAAAACCTAAAATGCAATAAAATAAATAAATGGGAAAAAAAATTTTAAAGTTTTAAAAAGAAGTAATTTTGAAGGATTGGATAATAAATTCTATGTATAAAGAAAATATACTCTATATAGTTTAAAAAAAAAAAAAAAAAGAAACATTTCAAACTCAATTAAGTCTCTGTTCGCCCAAGCAGGTTAAGCCTCCTACAATCTCAATTTCAGTTAATGCCATGACCAATTATCCTCCTGTTTCCCAAGATAGACACTGAGATCATTTGCACTTACTCTTTTTGACTCATCCTACACATCCAGCTAGCTGTCAAGGCCTAAGAACTTCCTCCCAAATTATGCCTCTTCAGGATCCCATAATTGCTTGCTGGGTCTTTTGCAGCAGTTTGTTAACAGATTCCATAGCACTTCCAATACCACCACTTCAGTGTACTCTCCAAACTACCACTAAAATTATGCTCCTAAAGTAAAATATGATCATGCCACCTCCCTTACTTAAAGTCCTCTTCCACTCACTGCCTAGGTTGGGCACGTAACATTCTTTGCAATCTGGTCTTCACCTACCTCCATGCAGCCACACTGAACTTTTCACCTTTCTGTAAAGATGCCATGTTTTGACACAATTGTGTGTTTATACATATGGTTCTTAAGTTCTAGAATTCCCTTTCTTGTTTCTGTGCCTGGATAGTTCCCACTCAGCTCTAAAGTCCCATCTCAAATACTATAATTTCTCTGAAGTATGTGCTGACTGTTCTCAGTACTCTGTTTAAGTATAATTTCTAGCACTAAGACAGTTATTATTACTCCATTTTTATGTTTTCCATGTCCATTAGACAGTGAGTTCTTTGTGTGGATGTACCATGATTTAATTCATCTTAGTGGCTCAGTGCCAGCAAGTTGCTTGACCCACAGAAGGTACAGTACATAAACAAGTGAATGGCGTTCAGTTTCAGGCATCTGGAAATTCCCTCCTCTCATCCCCTTCCATTTACTAATATTCAGCAAATATTTGTTGTGTACCTACTACTATGCATCATGAAATGGACAGCCAATGATGGATGAGACAGACATCTCATCTGTGGGTCGTTCAGATGAGAACCCCTCAGGTACAGAGCTGTGTGCTCAGTCCGTGATAGAGGAAGTACTGAGTGCCATAGGAACCCAGAAGAACGGTATCTACTGTAAAATGTCTTTGTACAGTCTACTGTGGCTCTACTGACCAGTTCACCTTTCCATAAGTGGAAAAGCCTTTCTATGCTTTTACACTACTGGACTTTTACACATGTTATTCCTGGTATCTAGAATTCCCTTCCTTCAATTTTTTGCATAGGCAATTCTCACTCACCTCCAAAGACCCAATTTGCATGCTACTGCCACTTACTCTGGGAAGCATTTCTCAGAGCAAGTAACCTCTACACTGAGGCCTGCAGGATGGAAGGAAGTTTAATTGTTGAAAGTGGTGGTGCACATGGCAGGAGAAAGTATTCTGAGCAGTGACACAGCATGAGAAAATGGGCAGATGTAAGAGACGGCATAATTTATTCAAGTAAATGAAAGGCACAGAAATAATTGGATAGGAAGATATGCTTCTCTGTGGGAAAATAGATCAGGTCGGTTGTTGTTCAAGGTTTGGGTAAAGAATCATATAAAATGTAAGTTGGGGCCTGATTAAGATTCTTAATTTTAGGTATATTCAGTAGGTGCTCTGAAATGTAGTAGGAGGCAAGAATGATCTATTCCTCCTAGCAAGAAGGTGCAAAGCAGTGTCCCAAGACTTGATTGGGTTTCTTTAACTTTTGCCTATTTCATTTGTATCAAATTGTATTGAAATTTGCCTATTTCAGCTTAGTATCCTTTTGGACAAAGAAAAAGTAGCTGTATTGTCTACTATTTCTTTGTCCAAAAGGATACTAAATTATGTTTAGTTGTGTATACTCAATTAAAGGGGCAGAACTGGAATGGAAATTTGTTTCGCCATTAGCAGAAAAAGCTCTTAAATATCAGCTATATATGAATCCTTAGGAAATGTATGTGTGTGTGTGTGTGTGTGTGTGTGTGTGTGTGTATATATTTATTTATTTACAAAGACATACATTCAACTTTTTAAAAAACATATAGGATATGAAATATTACCTATTATCTACACTACAAACATTTTCAAATGCCATATTTATAACTTGAAATTAGGAACATCTGTTTAAAATGGAATGATTACATATTAATTTAAGGACTAAATCAAGATTAAGAAAATCACTCAGGAATAGGAGCAACAGAATTGACAGTGGGTAGAAATATCTTAATCTAAAATAATGATACCCTATATTAAGAAGAGAGAGGAATTTTTAGTGACTGCGTAGTGATAATGAATTTTAATATATAATTTGTTAGGCATCAGATGACTTCTTCAGCTGCTGGTTTCACAACAAATCAAAGGCAAAAGTAAAATTAAAACACAAAATCCCCAATAAAGCAAAAATACTAAGAAATTTAATGGACTATCAAACTCAGGAGAGTACTGGGATATTTGGCACAGGTAAGAAATAAGATTGTAATTATCCATGGAAAGTTTCTCTCTGCAAAAAAGAAGCTACATAGAAAGGCAGGTAATTGGATGACTATGATCCACACTGACATACAAGATTTTAAGCTCATACAGCGTGGCATTTACCCTTTGATTTTATAATGCTTAAACAATATGTTGTGGTTAGATCTCTCTATAATGCACAAGAAGCCACAGATTTCCTAATTTGTTCTTGATAAAGTCACATCCTACTTTATGGTTTGTAAAGAAATAACTTCCAATTGGATGACTTGTTTATTGAAAATGGGGTAGAAGGCCAGGTGCAGTGGTTCACATTTGTAATCCCAGCACTTTGGGAGACCAAGGTGTGCGGATCGCTTGAGCAGAGGAGTTCATGACCAGCTTGGGAAACATAGTAAGACTTTATCTCTACCAAAAATAATTAGCCAGGTGTGGTGGCATGCCCCTGTAGTCCCAAGTACTCAGGAAGCTGAGGTAGGAGGATTGCTTGAGCTCAGGAGTTTCAGGCTGCTGTGAGGCATGGCTGTGCCACTGCACTCCAGTCTAAGTGACAAGCAAGGTCCTGTCTAAGAAAGAAAGAGAGAGAGGGGAAGGAAGGAAGGAAGAAAGGAAGGAAGGAAGGAAAAAGTGGGGTACAGAAGTCTTTCAATATGTCCACTGGATAGCTCCTTTAAGGCTAATGTCCTGAAGGAAACTGGATAGTTCAATAATAACAGGATTCACAAAAATATTATTCCATAGAAAGCCAAGAGGATTCCTTGGCAAGTTATGCTTTCTCTTACTCCCAACTAAAAGGCTCAATTTTATGGGGTAGCTAACAAGTATAACTGGCATATATGTGTGCATATACATCTATACATACATGTATATATATCACACGCATGTAATCTTATATGTATATGTGATTATATAAAAGCATTTTTATTTCATATGTATCAATGTATGAAAGATTTTATATATATATATATACACACACACACTTGTATACACACATATGCATACCCACATATATAGGAATACACACATACACACACACACACACACACACATACACACACGCCCCCCTCTTATATTCCCACACTGCAGGGAAAACTATGAGGAGCATTAAATCATAATATGTTATTGACAAGTGATCAGACTGAGCATGGGCAGTGGCAGGGACCCTTGGCTGTGAGGCACACTTATCCTTTCTGTTGTATTCATTTCACCTGGTGCTGTTCCATTTGATCCATAGTAACTTATTGAGAGGCAGATCCCATTTTCTAAGGTGGCAGAAAAAGATCCAAACTTGCTGAAAGCTTTATTCTTTGTGTCTGATACTTCTAAAAGACAAAATCAAATCAAGAACATTTTCATTTAATTCGAAAGAAGTATAACTAAGACTCAGTGGGAAGGCTGAGAATGGAGTTCATAGCTGGTTTAACACAATCAACTTAAAAATAATTGACTTAGCTTGACCGTGCACTCAGGGTTTTTAAAGGTAGGGTAGAATTACAAAAATAAAAACATGAAACTGTTGTTGTAAGGACTTTAAGTTGAAATGAAGTGAGGAAATCAATGGGTTGATGGCATAGCCATAAGCAGATTATTTGCCTGGCGGATCATCCACATGGCTTTTGAAATTAAAAGCCATCAGTTCAGTTTCAGCTTCCCCACATTTTAAAACATGTTCTTAAGTTCTCACATTTAAACTTCTTACATTTTAAAACATTTTAAAAATTGTTTCAGTCAAACATAATTTTAAAACAAAATTGTTAAGGCACATTTTTTTTTTTTCTTTTCTCAATCTTTTGGTGTAGGGGGCACATGTGCAGGTTTGTTATGTGAGTAAACTGCATGTCACTGGGGTGTGGTGTACAAACTTCATCACTCAGTTAGTGAGCATAGTACCTGATAGGTAATTTTTTTATTCTTACCTTCTTCCACCCTCCCCTCTTAAGTAGGCCTCACTGACTATCATTCCCATCTTTATGCCCATGTGTGCTCAGTGTGTAGATTCTACTTATTAGTGAGAAAATGCAGCATTTGGTTTTCTGTTCCTGTGTTAATTCGCTTAGGATAATGGCCTCCATTGCATCCATGTGGTGCCAAGGACATGCTTTAGTTTTTCGTGGCTGCATAGTATTCCACAGTGTGTATGTACCACATTTCCTTTATCCAGTCCACCACTGATAAGCATCTAGGTTGATTCCATCTCTTTGCTATCATGAGTAGAAAACACATATCTGAAGGTATATATAAAGAATTTGTGAATTTTCTGACCTGTTGTTTTATTTCCAGTTCACCATTTCCTCTATTATCAGATAATAAAGATGGGGCAATATTGATTCAAACTCACGCAAAGATAACTTCTAGACTGGGAAATTCAAATGAACAACTGAACAAAAGATAATGCCTTAAGAGAATGAAAAGAGAAGCCACAGAGTTGGAGAACATGTCTGCAAAAGCCGTATCTGTGAAATGACCATTTGAAATGACTCAAAATGTATGAAGAATTCTTAAAGTTCAATAACCAGAAAAGAAAAAACCTGATTTAAAAAATAGGCAAGGAACTTCAACACCTCATCAAAAAAGATATACAAATGGCATATAAGCATATGGAAAGATGCTCAATATTGTTTGTTATCTGGATAATGCAGATTATAACAAGATACCACTAGGCACCTTTTAGAATGGAGAAAATCTGAAATAGCAAATAACGGTGATGATATAGGGCAACAACAACTTTCATTCACTGCTGGTGGGAATGCAAAATGGTATAGCCAATTTGGAAGACAGTTTGGTAGATTCTTCCAACATAAACATACAAAAATGTAATCCAAAGTCACATGTAATCCAAAAATCACACTCCTTGGTGTTTATCCAAGGGAGTTGAAAACTTATGTCCACACACAAACTGGTACACGAATGTTTGTAGTATGTTTATTCACAATTGCCAAAAGCTGGAGGCAACCAAGATGTCCTTCAGCAGGTGAGTGGGAAAATAAAATTGTGGTACTCCAGACAATGTAACATTATTCAGTGCTCAAAAAAAAAATTATCAAGACAAGAAAAGACATGCAGGAAACTGAAATGCATATTACTAATGAAAAAAATCAATCTGAAAAGGCTATGTAGTATATAATTCCAAGTATATGATATTACGCTAAAAGCAAAACTGTAGAAACAGTAAAAAGATGGGTGATTATCAGGGGTTAGGAAGGAGGGAGACATGAATAGTAAGAGTACAGATTTTTAGGGCAGAGAAACTACTCTGTATGATACTATAATAGTAGACACATGCCATTATGCCTTTGTTCAAACCCATAGAATGCACAACACCAAGAGCAGCATAAACTATGCATTCTGATTGATAATGAGATAGTAATGCAGGCTCATCGACTGTGACAAATGTACCACTCCATGTGAGAAACATTGATAGTGGGGAAGGTTGTGCACTTGTATGGGAGAAGGGTACTGGGAAATTTCTGCAACTTCTGTTTAATTCTGTCATGAACCTAAAACTGCTATGAAAAATAAAGTCTACCAAAAAAAGAATGCTTGCTATCCATTAGGGTTCAGTTCAGGAACATTGGCATCTTCATGCACTATTAATAAGAGAGTGCATTGGTAGAAACTTGAGAAAAAGAATGTGCAATAAGCCATTTAATGGAGTGGAATGGACAGAGACAGGAGAATCAGAAAAGAAAACACTAAACAAACAGAACACATGCTCAGCAAAATATAAATTATAGAAGAGTTAGTAAAATGCTTGAATTTTTTAAGTACATAAGGATATTTTTAAAAGCACTTTCTAGAATTTAAAAATATACTTTCCCAACCAAACCATTCATAATCCATACATGACCTGAAGGAGAAAATGGTCACTTTTGAAATTCAAATGAGTTTCTTAGAAAATCAAGTGAAAAAATTATTTCAAAACAGAGCAGGCCAGGCACAGTGGCTCACACCTATAATTCTAGCACTTTACTTGAGCCCAGGAGTTTGAGAAAGGCCTAAGAAACATGGTAAAATCTATCTATAGAAAAAATACAAAAGTTGCCAGCTGTGGTGGCTCACGCCTGTAATTCCAAAACTTTGGGAGGCCTAGGCAAGTGGATCACAAGGTCAGGAGTTTGAGATCAGCCTGGCCAAGATGCTGACACCCCGACTCTACTAAAAATACAAAAATTAGCCGGTCATCATGGCAGGTGCCTGTTAACCCAGCTGCTTGGGAGGCTGAGGCAGGAGAATCGCTTGAACCGGGAGGTCAAGGTTGCAGTGAGCCGAGATCATGTCACTGCACTCTAGCCTGGGCAAGAGAGCAAGACTTCATCTCAGAGAAAAAAGAAAAAAACACAAAAGTTATCCAGGCATGATTGTATGTGCCTTTAGTCCCAGCTACTTGAGAGTCAGAGGTGGAAGGATCCCTAGAGCCCAGGAGTTCAAGGCTGTAATGAGCTATAATTGGGCCACTGCACTCTAGTCTCCGCAACAAAGCAAGAACCTGTCTATAAAACAAAATAAAACAAAATCCAGAGCAGGGATTTCCCCCTCTGTGGTCTCCTTCCACTCAGTGTGGAAGCTACCTTCCTCTCCGGGATTCCATATTTGGGTCCCTTTCCATATTCTTCATGGAAGCTTTCTCTCTCTCATCTTTTTCTCTCTCCTTTTTCTCTTTCTCTGCCTAAATAAATCACTTTTCTGCAAAAAAANAAAGAAAGAAAGAAAAGAAAAAATCCAGAGCAAACATTTAAAGAAACAGAAGAGAGTCGTGAAGAAAACAATAGACGTAAAAGATCTGGAGGATAAATGTATGCAAATTGCGGGTTTTACAGAAGGAAAAAAGAAACAAATGAAGAACAAAAATTAAATTAAACGAATTAAAATTTCCTGAGTTAAAGCTGGAGCTCGATTCTTAGATTACAAGGGCTCCTCAAATTCTAATGTGGAAATTACAAGATGATGCAATAGGAACTATGAATCATAAAGAGAAAAGGATGACAACCCAAGGATCCTGTATCCAGCCAAGAGGTCTGTCCAGATATCCAGAGATGCATAAACGTTGAGAGGGCATACTACTGTGTGCCTCACGTGAAGAGAAACTTAATAAAACTAAACAAAAACAAATAAACCAGGGTGGAAATGGGAAAGAAGAAAGCCAGCAGTGGTGGGCAATGACCGTTCTTCTCTGCATCCTCATCTTTCTCTCTGCCTGTTAATCTTTTGTAGATCCATCTAGATCAGAGATTAGCAAACTTTTGCTGAAAAGGGCCCGATAGTAAATGTCTTAGGTTTTGTAGGTCACATATACGGTGTTTATGACATTTTCTTCTTTCTTTTTGTTTTTTTGAACTATCCTTTACAAATGCAAAAACAACTATTAGTTTATGGGCCATACAAAAACAGAGTGTGGGGCAAATTTGTGCCAAAGTGTGCAGACTCCAGGGATAATTAAAGCTGAAATGAAAATGGAAAGTTTAATTTTAGGGCTAAAAAGGGGACGTTAGCTAATAATGCGAAAAATAAAAAAATTATACAAATGAATATATGAAAGTTTATATGTAAATATATAATATATACATACATGAACAAGGATATAATATAAACATACATTAAGATATGTATGCTTATATAAAATTATATAGATATGACTAAATATATTTATTTATTTTGGTGGAAATCACCTAGATATGTAAAACATGGAAATAAGTGAACTATAATTATATATCAATGAAATATTAAATCATCAAAAAATCTTGCTTTCAAAGAATATTTAATGAATATGAAAATGCTCACGAGAATAAAGAAAGACAGACATTATTAGCAGTGGTTATCATTGGGGTGGTAGAATTATAGGCAATAGTCATCTTCTTTAAGTATTTCTATTTTTCTTAATTTTTAATAATAATCCATGTATTTTTATATTAGGTAAAATAAAGAAAATTCATTTTAAAATTTCTGTGTTAAGTTTTTGGGCACATTCACAATTGTCAAACATTGTGTTCTTTCTCCAGCAAAGTGAATCAGAGAAAAAAAAAAACATTGTGTTCTTCCCTTGGGTTTAGAAAATGTCACTAACTAACTTCATATATGAAATTTAGTTACTGGTTATCACTAATTTTCGTTTCTTTCTTTCTTTTTTTGAGACAGAATCTCTCTCAATTACCCAGACTGGAGTGCAGTGGTGCAATCTTGGCTCTGCAACCTCTGTCTCTGGGGTTCAAGCAATTCTTATGTCTGAGCCTCTCAAATAGCTGGAATTATAGGTGTTCGCCACTACGTCAGACTAATTTTTGTACTTTTAGTAGAGATGGGGTTTCACCACGTTGGCCAGGCTGGTCTCGAACTCCTGGGCTCAAGTGATAAGCCCACTTCAGCCTCCCAAAGTGCTAGGATTAAAAGCATGAGCTACTGTGCCTGGCCCTCATATCACTAATTTGAGTTGAATATATCTACTAACTCCTTTTCTTTTCTATTCTTTTCTTTTTTTGAGACAGAGTTTTGTTCTTGTTGCCCAGGCTGGAGTGCAGTGACGTGATCTTGGCTCACTGCAACCTCAGCCTCCTGGGTTCAGGTGACTCTCCTGCCTCAGTCTCCTGAGTAGCTGGGACTACAGGCACGTGCCACCATGCCTGGCTAATTTTTTGTATTTTTTTTAGTAGAGACAGGGTTTCACCATGTTTGCCAGGATGGTTTCGATCTCCTGACCTCATGATCTGCCTGTCTCAGCCTCCCAAAGTGCTGGATTACAGGCATGAGACACCATGCCTGGCTAGTAACTCATTTTCTTTTGCAGGTATAATCAATACCATATTGGGCAAGGAAGAAGAAATTAATTTCTCTTAATGATGTTACCTGGCACAACAGTGTTATCATGAAGTTTCACGGTGTTTTATCAGTGGACATCTATTTATAGCTTTCATCTCCATGCAGGTAAATGTATGGTCACATGTATGGTTTTTCCTTGTCTTTGCAACCTAATATATTTGGTGCTACAGAGGATTAAGTGATAGAGCACAGGAAGAAAGCCCATCATTGCAGTGAATATTGGAAAAAAGTTATACTATGCTAGGAATCACTGCAAAAGGACCTGTATCCTAGAAAATGTAATTGGTACAAGTGCATAAACCAAAATTAAGGGCAGAATAGATACGAGAGACTCAGTGTTGCTCCATAAAGGTGACCAGTCTGGGTAGACTCTGTATCAACTGGAATCAAAAGCTGGGTACCTGGAGGAAAAAAAATCAAGTAAGCAGCCACCTATGATGGACTATGTGTATAATAACATATTACATTACAGGATGGCAAAATACCTTAGTTACCATGTGGGAAAATTCCATGTGCTAAGTACAAGGAGTCCACGTGTATTCCTGTCAGGTGGATGGGTTCGGCACATTGCTTAAGCATTAAGATCCACTGGCGCAAAGATGCCACTGCTTACCTGCTTCAAAATTTTGTTCCTCATCTCCTTCTTTCTCTTCTTCTAAATAATAATGCTCTTTCTCTTCCTTTTTCACAATTTCCTTAGGGTCACTTAAATGAATTATAAAATTGTGCCTGTCCTTTAGCACTCTCACTTTGATAAAAGTTGGACCTGAGGAGGAGCCACAGGATAGAAGATGCGCTGATCAGGATGCCACATTAAGCTCCTTGACAAGACGTTTACACAATGCTGCATAGAAACTAACACAGGAACAGAAAACCAAACACTGCATGTTCTCACTTATCAATGGCAGCTAAACACTGAGAACACATGAACACAAAGAAAGGGACAATAGACACCAGGCCTACTTGAGGGTGAGGACCAAAAACTACCTGTCGAGTATTCGATTGATTACCTAAGTGATGAAATAATATGCACACCAAACCCCTGCAATATGCAATTTACCTGTAGAACCAACCTGAATATGACCCCTGAAACAAAAATTTAAAAAGCAGCATAGAATATACACCAGGGAAGGGAAATGCCTGGAGATGCCAACATCTCCATAAAAGAATGCCTAAGGAAATAAAGTAATGGCGGAATTCTAGGCATGAATGGCAGGTAGACCAAGGAGATATTGGCAGGCCTGCTAATCACATTTCAAACCAATTTCAGAAGAGAAAATGAACTGGCTGAGGCAATGTATACCTATAATCAATGTTATAATTTATAAAATGATATAATTAATGTGAAAGCATTTTACAACTTATACAAATTCCGTGTTAGTTATAGTAGCTATTATTGTTATTATTATGATAGTTAATAAGAATTTTTCCAACAACCCATTCTCTGTTTTAGTGTTCAGACTCATTTTTTTTCTTCTGTTTTCTCTTTTAAAAAAATAAATCTGGTTTTTCTTTTCAATTTCAATTTTGATTGATCTATCATCCCTCAAAATTGACAGGACTAGGAGAAAATACTGAATTCACTACAAACCACCTGAAACTTATATGCATTTTATGCATATGCAAATCTTAGAAAGACCGAAATAGGTGTATACTGGGAGCAGGCCCCAAGCTCTGTGCTTCAGAGCCACACCAGAAAAATGCAGTAAACTCACAGAATGTGTTTGGTTTCTGGTATAACATATGTTGTAATGAATATTATTACTTAATTGCTTATTGCAGTTACTATTACACTATTTAATAATTGTATGAGAGTATTTTAATATTTTAACAACTGGAATGGTCATATTAGCAGGTACCAGCTAAACCCTTGATAGTCCTATGCCTTGCAGAGTCAATTATAATAGCAGAAAGTATGAAGTCTGGAAATGCTGACTGTCGCACTCAAACGTATCGTGGGGGACACAGTAACACCCTCACCTATCAAACTCAAGAGTAGAGGGCCCCTGCTTATCTGAAATGAATTGCTATCTTTCCAGTCACTATCCAGTTGCTTTCAAAGTGTACCTTTTTCAAACATTGTCTTTTCCACTTCAATCTGCCCTCCATCGGAAGGATACAGGTAGTAATTTGACCCCGAGATTTGAGTGGGTATATTTCCCATATTATATCCGTGAAGCTAGAAGAGAAAATGTTATGCTTTGAATGTCGAAGCTGTAATAGACAAAAATCAACTTATCAGTGTTAGCCAACTAAAATTGACAGAAGTTTAATTTCTGTTAAGTGATATGTCTGTCACTTTGCAGAGTCAGAAGCCAGTATTCATATTATTTTAAGAAACTTCTGTGGTGTTACAACAACAGGCAGAATTAAGAGTCTGTGATTTTAAACTCTGTTCATTGGCACGTTCTCATCACCTATTGCAAATGGAAGCATCATACTACGGTCAAGGCAGTTCAAGAAGAATTCAAGTTCTCATTCACTCATTGTTAATTTTCTCTTTAAAATGAACTGATGTTGGGGAGAGTGGACACTCCTTTTTAGGAGGTCAAATGTAGAAGACATTTTTTACTGAGTGTTGCTAACAGAGGTCCAGGGGATTTTGATTCATGCTAAAATTTGAGAACTGGTTTATAGGAGTGGACACAAAGCACAAAGGCTGTTAGATTTCTTTCCATTTTTTTTCCCCATGAGGTTTTTCTCATTACAGCTAGCTGAGGGAGAATTGGAAAAGGGAAGGTTTTACAAAAGCACACAAGGCAGAAACATGCTTGCCTACAAAGAGACAAAATGTAGTCAGCAAGTCTCATCATCTGAGACAGATGAAGCCAACTTTTGTGTTCACTTATTTACATGTACCTAAAAGGATGGTTTTGTGTGAAATTTCTATCTTTAGCTGACTTTAGCTAGGTTCATGGCGCTCAAATAAAAACTGGCTTGAGGGTCTTTTCATCTTAATGACTGACTAGAAACAGAGTTCTAGACATCATGGAATAGAATACAGGTTTGAGCTCCTTGATACGAGAAGAAACCCTAGGCCTATTGTGGTGGTAGTGAAAACAAAGGAATCTTACAGAAGCCGTTTTTTCCCAAAACAATTAGGAATAGCCCAAAGAAACTAAGTTTTACAGAACTGGAGTTTACCGAGTAAGTTATCTCAGGTCCTGGTTGGTGAAGGGACTCCTCTGTTACTTCTTGGACCTTGATTTGTTCTTCTTTAGGTTTCTCCTTGTAAGACGATTTTTTCTTCAAAGACCTAATGTCTTCTCCCTCTACTTTATCCTTGCCTTTCTTTTTACCAGCATCTTTGCTCTTCTTCTCTGCTTTCTTTTCTTCCTTTAAGCGTTCCTCTTCTGCTAATCGATCTTGCTCTTCTTTCCAAGCCTGTAAACACATTTAAAAAATTTAACAGGATTTTGAAGCAAATTAAACATAGGTACTATTCAGGTTCATTTTGGAGAATAGTTAACATGACTTTTGTAAGTGGTATCTCTGACAAATCGAAATACTGAACTAGAAACCTTAAAGTCATCCTTGATTCTCTTTCTCACTCAATTTCTGTCTACTAAATCCTGTCCATTATCCCTTGGAGATCTCTCCTCAGCTCAGCTTCTCTCATGGTTTGTTTTGCAATTTCCCTGGTTTAGGTCTTTATTGTCTTTTGCCTGGACCATTGTAACAGCCTCCTAACTGGTCTCCCAGTCTCCCATCCTCCACATGAGTTCCATCTTTCATTTAGGTCCTAAAGATAGTTTATTAGCAATGTGGAAGACTAGATGTTCAGAGAAACATTTCTGGGGCAAAATAATTCAAAAATGATGGATAAAATAGGTACTATGATGGAGGGCAAGTCTCGTCTCAGCACTCCTAACCACAAGCCTCTCCTCACATAGATTTGTGGCCAAAATACAGATTACTTTAACATTTTATTTTAAAGCAGTTATTGAGGCAGGATAATAGGGTCTGGAGGCAGGGAACATAAGGCCGATTCACACTTCAGCTATGACAGGAAATACTCTCTCCATAGGGCATAGGCCAAGTAAATGACTTTGTAACTTTACTTCATCCTTTACATACAGTGTACCCCAAGTAACCAATGGAATCCTCTAGGGGGTATTTAAACTCCCAAAATTTCTGTAATGGGGCCTTTGAGGTCCTATGCTCGGAACCGCTCCCACACTGTGGTGTGTACTTTCATTTTCATTAAATTCCTTTATTCTTTCCTTGCTTTGTTTGTGCCTTTAGTTTAATTGTTTATTCAAGATGCCAAGAACCTAGATCCCTCCACCATTAACATTATGATTTGATAGAAGCTCAAAAATGAAAATCACAAAACCCGCAGAAATAAACCACTTTGAGCAAGAACCAGAAGAAACTGTGAAATTATATCTACAAAGACTATAGATATTATAATTACCAAATAGAGAATATAAAATAAGTTTTAAAACATGCTTAAATAAATAAAAAGAAGTATCAAACACATAAGTAAGAAAGAAAAGATTATCAAAATGGCAAGGTGAGTTTGAAAGACTTCTTGAAAATTGAATTGAATTTTTGAAAAGGCAGTGTTTGATCAGATAATGGCTGAGACATTTCCAGAGTTGAAGAAAGACATTCATCCTAACATTAAGGAAGATCAATAAATCAAAAGCAGCAAATAACATTGACATATTGGACCTGGCTCATATTGACTTAAAAGAGTTTATTGTTAAACTTTTAGAAATTTTGTGAGCCGACTGTTAACCATGACCATCATCTAAAAATGATATAAATTCACAATTAAGCAGAATATTAAAAATAAAGGCAATAAAGACTCAAAACTTACCACACTGTAAGCATTTTGTTACATTTCACTATTGTCTATGCTCTGGAGTTTATGTCAATTGTAACAGTATCATGACAACTTTATACAATGGTGTGCAGAAGTTGGTGTGCAAAAGTTGGCAGAGGACTGCCAACTTCAGTGCTGTCCCATGGTAGCTTGGAATCAGCCATTGTAGTGGTATTTACACTACAGATATCAGCAAATGCTACAAGTCAGGACTGATTGATTGCTTATTATCTAGATTTAAGGCAGTGATGGAGATCATGTTAATAATGCAGACTAGCTGTTATAGTGTTACTAGCACAGAAAGTTGAAGAAATATTCTTTCAGTAATAAAAACCTATTACTTGACTCAGCAAAAAAGTTGCTCATGTCATTGACAAATGAATGAGACATATCCTTTGTTTGTTTCACTTTTCTCTTACTTGTTAATACAAATACAAATATCGATCAACATTCATATTAGAACTACATGTGTTTATGAATTGTAACCACAGGTTGGCTAAGGATACAACAATTTAGCAAAAATTAATTTATTGGAATCGAAATGCTATTTGTAATTTATGTGTAGCCATATGGAATTTACATAAAGAATATTATATGCTTTATTACATGTAACTTCTGTGCAATATGTACTCTATATCAGAAACATTTATAACTTATGTACATATATGAATACTTTTATTTTCCTAGAGAGCTACTGCTTAAGCATTTACCAGCAAACCACTGAATGTTTTCAAAGCAGCTAGAGAGAAAAGATAAACTGGGGGGTGATGCCAAGATGGCCAAATAGAAACAGCTCCAGTCCACAGTTCCCAGCAAGAGTGATCCAGAAGGTGACAGATCTCCGAATTCCCAACTGAGGTAGCAGGTTCACCTTATTGGGACTGGTTAGACAGTGGGTGCAACCCAAGAAGGGCACACCAAAGCAGGGTGGGGCGTCATCTCACCTGGGAAGTGCAAGGAGCTAGAGAACTCCCTTTCCTAGCCAAGGGAAGCCATTAGGGACGTTTCCCGACACTCTGGCACTCTGGCTCAGATACTGCGCTTTTCCCACAGTCTTCACAACCTGCAGACCAGGAGATTCCCTCTGGTGCCTACAACACCAGCGTCCTGGGTTTCTAGCCCAAAACTGGGTGGCCATTTTAGCCAAAGCAGGTTTTTTTTTTCTTTCTAATATCTCAGTAGCACCTGGAATGCCAGCAAGACAGAACCGCTCATTCCCCTGAAAAAGGGAGCTGAAGGCCGGGAGCCGAGTGATCTGGCTTGGCGGGTTCCACCCCCACGAAGACCAGCTAGCTAAGATCCACTGGCTTGAAATTCTTGCAGCCAGGACAGCAATTTGAGCTTGACCTGGGAGGCTCGAGCTCCATGGAGCTGAGGGGTGTCTGCCATTGCTGAAGCTTCAGTAAGCAGTTTTAACCTCGTCTGTGTTAACAAAGTCACAGGGAAGTTTACACAGCCCCTGGGTGGAGCCCACAGCAGCTCAGCAAGGCCTCTGCAGGCAGACTGTCAACTAGACTCCCTTCTTGCTGGGCAGGGCTTCTCTGAAGAAAGGCAGCAGCCCATCAGGGACTTACAAATAAAGCCCCCACCTTCCGGGGATAGAATACCTGGAAAAAGGGACAGTTGCGGGTTCCGCTTCAGCAGACTTAAATGTCCCTGCCTGGCTTCTCTGAAGGGAGCAACAGATCTCCTGGCACAGCACTTGAGCTCTGATAAGGGACACACTGCCTCCTCAGGTGGCTCCCTGACCCCCATGTAGTCTCACTGGGAGATACCTCATATAGGAGAGCTCTGGCTGACATCTGGTGGGTACCCTTCTGGAATGAAGCTACCAGAAGAAGGAACAGGCAGCAATCTTTGCTGTTCTGCAGCCCTCATGTGTGATTCCCATGCAAGCAGGATCTGGAGTGGACCTCCAGCAAACTCCAGGGGACCTGCAGAAGAGCAACCTGACTGTTAGAAGGAAAACTAAGAAACAAAAAGAAATAACTTCAACATCAACAGAAAGGATGTCCACTTAGAGACCCCATCCAAAATCACAAATTTCAAAGACCAAAGGTAGATAAATCCATGAAGATGGGAAGAAACCAGTGCAAAAAGGCTGAAATCACCAAAAACCAGAATGCCTCTTCTCCTTCAAGGTATCACAACTTCTCACCAGCAAGGGAACAAAACTGGATGGAGTATGAGTTTGACGAATTGACAGAAGCAGGCTTCAGAAGGTGGGTAACAATAAACTTCTCTGAGCTAAAGGAGCATGTTCTAATGTAATGCAAGGAAATAAGAACCTTGAAAGAACATTAGATGAAATGCTAACTAGAATAACCAGTGTAGAGAAGAACATAAACAACTTGGTGGAGCTGAAAAACATAGCACGAGAACTTCACAAAGCATACACAAGTTTCAATAGCCGAATAGATCAAGCAGTAGAGAGGATATCAGAGACGGAAGATCAACTGAATGAAATAAAGTGAGAAGACAACATTAGAAAAAAAAGTGAAAAGAAATGAACAAAGCCTCCAAGAAATATGGGATTATGTGAAAAGACCAAATCTACATTTGATTGGTGTAGCTGAAAGTCATGGGGAGAAGGAAATCCAGTTGGAAAACACTCTTCAGGATACTATCCAGGAGAACTTCCCCAACCTAGCAAGGCAGGCAAACATTCAAATTCAGGAAATACAGAGAACACCACAAAGATACTCCTTGAGAAGAGCAACCCCAAGGCATATAATTGTCAAATTCACCAGGGTTGAAATGAAGGAAAAAATACTAAGGGCAGCCAGAGAGAAAGGTCAGGTTACCCACAAAGGGAAGCCCACCAGACTCACAGTGGATCTCTTGGCAGAAATCCTACAAGCCAGAAGAGAGTGGGGGCAATATTCAACATCCTTAAAGAAAAGAATTTTCAACCCAGAATTTCATATCCAGCCAAACTAAGCTTCATAAGTGAAGGAGAAATAAAATCCTTTGTGGACAAGCAACTGCTGAGAGATTTCGTCATCACCAGGCCTGCCTTACGAGAGCTCCTGAAAGAAGCACTAAACAAGGAAGAGAACAACCAATACAAGCTACTACAAAAATATACCAAATTGTAAAGACCATTGATGCTATGAAGAAACTACATTAACTAACAGGCAAACAACTAGCTAGCATCAAAATGGCAGGATCAAATTCACACATAACAATATTAACCTTAAATGTAAATGGGATAAATGCCCCAATCAAAAGACACAGACTGGCAAATTGGATAAAGAGTCAAAATCCATCAGTGTGCTGTATTCAGAAGACTCATCTCACATGCAAAGACACACATAGACTCAAAATAAAGGGATGGAGGAACATTTATCAAGCAAATGGAGAGCAAAATAATAATAATAATAATAAAATAAAACATAAAAAAAGCAGGAGTTGCAATCCTAGTTTCTGATAAAATGGACTTTAAACCAACAAAGATCAAAAGAGACAACGAAGGGCATTACATAATGGTAAAGGGATCAATGCAACAAGAAGAGCTAACTATCCTAAATACATAAAGATACATAACTACCCA